CGGTTAGTGTGCTGCGCTACGAACCCAGCTACTCGAGTTCGATTCCTGCTCACGGCCAACACCAGTGATGATTATCTGAACTGGTCTTGGGCCTCCCCTAGGTGGACTCAGCCTCAAATGCGTACCTGGTGCGATGTGTTAACATCGCCATTGGGGAGATATGCGTGCGGGCGTGGTGCTGGCCAGCCACCCCTTGTGCCGTGCCAGCCTTCATAGGTCCTCGCAACGGCACTTGCCTCAACAGTCTGTTACAGGCTATACGGGGGGATCTTTGTCTTTATCTTTGTTGACGTGTACGTGCGTCCGTGCGTGTGCACGTCCGTGTAGGCTGAGCCTCGTGGATGAGGGAGGGGCCGTGCTGGGCCACGATGGGGGAGGCTCGGGGGGCTACCTGGAGCACGTGTTCCGCCACGCCGCCCAGGAGCTGTTCGGAGAAACCGTCACCGACATCACCTACAGGACCCTGCGGTGAGCGCGTGTTCGTGCGCGTGTGTCGATGTATTTGTGTCTCCGTGCGTGCGTATGTTCTGAGGAGTGGTGTTGCAATGGTTAGCACGCTGTGCTACGAACCCAGCAATCCGAGTTCCATCTCCGCTCATGGGCAACACCAGTGACAATATTTGAACTAGCTCTGGCCCCTCCCGTAGGTCGACTCGGCCTCAAATGAGTATCTGGTGTGGTGTGTAAACATCAGCACTGGGGAGACAAAGGCAGCCAAGCGTGGTATTGCCCACTCACCAGGCCATGCCGGTCTTCAGAGCTGTTGTTCTCAACAGCTCTTGTCCCCAACAGTCTATTCAAGGCTACATTAGGGATCTTTGTCTTATTGTGTGCGTCCGCATGTACGTCTGTGTATGTGCACGTGTGCTTACCCAAGTACGTCACTATCATTAAGTCACAATTCATTATTGTTGTTGTTGTCTATGCTTGTGTCTTGACAACGGTGAGTGTGTGTACGTGTCTACGTGTGTGTGTGTGTAGATATTTGTGCGTGTCTGTTTGTACACGTCTGACTCCACGCTCAGGTCTCCTGACTCCACACTCGTGCATCCCCACTGGTCACTCGTCTCTCTCCTGACCCGCTTCGTGACCCCTCACCTGCGGTACAGGAACAAGGATCTGCGGGAGGTGCTTCTGGAGAGCGACGGCCGTGTCCTCCTCCGTTTCGCCGCCGCCTATGGCTTCCGCAACATCCAGAACCTGGTGCAGCGGCTCAAACGCGCCAAGTCCCCCTACGACTACGTCGAGGTCATGGCCTGCCCCTCTGGTACGACTCCCGAACTCTCGCCCCTCACCTTCTGGCCTCTCACCCTAACCTTCACGTTGACCTCTGACCTCGGCTGCCCCCTTGCAGGCTGCTTGAACGGCGGGGGCCAGGTGCGCACGAAGGGGGTACAGGCCGGTGGGGTGGCGGCGGAGGAGCTGCTGCGGCGCGTGGAAGAGGCGTACGCCAGCGCCGCGCCTGTGCCGCCGGGTTCCGGCGACGGCGCCGTCACGAGACTCTACCGCGAGTGGCTGGGGGACGAGGGCAGCGAGCGCGCCAAGGCGGCGCTGCACACATCCTACCATGCTCTCGAGAAGCCGGCCAGCTCGCTCAACCTCAAGTGGTAGCCAGCGTGGTCGCGCGCCCGCCTGCCCACCCGCCCGCCCGCCTGCCCGCCCACCCGCCTGCCCGCCTGCCCGCCAATCGCTAATTCGAATGACTTGCTCATTCATTCGTTTTCAGACACCGGGGCTGGTGTCCGCTCGATGGTGATCTGTCGACCGGCTGCTGCTGCTGCTTGTCAAGAGCTCGGCACCGTGTGTGCCTGTGAACTCGCGAGTGCCAGGTAGGCCTCGAGTCTCTATGGTGGGGTGCGAGTCACCCTTGAACTTTGTTACACGAACTGCAGATGCCACTGCGCGTGATGCTGTGTCGAGCACCACGTGCAGTGGCGTCTGCGCCGTGTTGGGTAGCTGAGTGACACTGGTAGGTCGGGGGTGAGGGTGGTTGTGGGGAGCGGCGTTACGGCTCACAGTGACGGAAGGAGGTGGACCGGCGTAAGCGAGCGGCTTGTGAGCTGAATGAAACCGTTTAGTGACGGCTGAAATGTAAATATGAATGCATCTTTAGTACAGTCTAATTTTCGAATCTATATACGCGCACGAAATTGCTATTCCTGGTACTTTACGGTGTACAATAAAGATTGGAGGCCAGCGTGCGACTGTACACGATTTTGAATTTCTTCGCACATCGATTCACAAGGACATGTTTTAATTTCATGCAAACATCGAACGTGTCACCACATTGTGATTATTGCGCTTGTTAAACAAGGAAAGGCTGACAGTGTTTCAAAGCATTGGCTGGAACAACCATCCCAATGCAGGAACCCAGAGCTCCCCTCAGCCCTTTTGCGCTTCTGCGACCGTCTGGAATGTTCTCCCGATATTAGGAAGCCACTGGAGCTGTGAACTTTTAAATCATCCAGATTGAAAACTAATTTCTTTAGAACTGCGTTTTGTGTTTAGTTTGTTGTCCTTCCCCCTTACCTCTGATTAGCACGGTTGGCTACGTACGGTGCGAAAGAAGTTCAACATACAGCCCAGGCGACTTGGAATTGAGCCAAATTCTGTGGCGTTTTGAGGCACAGTTTGCGTGATCGTCGCCGCGTATCAACGTCAATCGCAGTCATCCTAAGAACCCAGGTGTAACAACCCAGATGGAGTTAAGATGATTGTGTGATTGTCGTTGATACGTATGTATGTTGCACTTCTTTTGCACCATATGCAAGCCAACCGTGCCAATCGGAGGTGCGGGGGAAGGGCACCAAAGTCAACACAAAAAGCAGTTCTGAAGATAGGGGCCGTCCATAAATGGCGTCACGCACCTGGGGGGGGGGGGGTCAGACATTTGTGGCGATGTGTGACGAGAGGGGGGCGGGTGAGAAATGTGACATCAAAATGCGCAACTTTAAATAAATATAGACAACACGTTCTACTTAATGAAATAGACTTTTTAATAACTGTTTTCTCCTACAACATCAAAGTGCAGCGCCACATTAAATACGCACGACAATGACAATAGTTTAAAGCGATTTTAAGCATGTTTAAAAAAAAATGAGGTGGGGGGGGTCTGACTTTTTGTGACGTCGTGTGACGAAGCGGGGGGGGGGGTCAAAAATCGTTCAAAATCGAGTGACTTTCGCGCATCCTAACCTCGCAGCCTCGGGAACCCGCACAGAGCAACCAGGCGAGGGCGCTCCACGCAGATTCAACTCCACACTGAAGCCGCCGGGCTCAAGGAGCCGCTCGGTTCGCCACGAGGCTGTGGTGGAGGTTTACTCAGGGTTCGGGGTATTCCCCGGTTGGACTCCGGGTGTGAGCGTCCCGCGGTGGTCGTGAGCGAGAGTTGACCTCCCCGTGGGTCAGTGGAAGCCACTGACGGGGGTGAGAGTTCAGGTGCAGGAACCCTGAACCCTGGACCCAGGGACACCTGGACCCGAGACCCGGGGATCCTGCCTCTGGGGACCTTCCTCCTCTCCAGGACATCTTCCTGCTTATAGAGGCACGCACGTTCATACGTCCGCATCATAGGCACATCAACGTGATGTGTATTGTTCGCTCCTCGCTGTGGGTGGGATTGGAATCCCAGACACTTTGCGTTGCTGGCCTCTCGCTGAGCCCACTGCGTTTCTCCAGACTCAGCAGAGGGCATCATGCGATGTCACGATTGCAACTGCACGCACGGAGCTCTTCAAGAGCGTGCGGTTTAGTGGTCTAACATCATCATGCAATACATAATACAAAAATTGTAAAAGCTGGATTTGAACCTTGGACGTGTGCCTAAGGTGTTACCACTGCATCACGCAAGCACGTGGTTGCCGTGAAAATCTTCTAGTTATTAAGCGATTGTCAATGCGAGCATTGACATGTCATACTTTCGATTTAGAACAAAATTAACGAATTGCTCGTCTCGGCATAATGATTGATCTTATTTAAAAAGGAACATCATGTCAGATTTGAACGCATGTCTCTGGGACTCAAGCCCAGCAGCAATCCCACACAGCCACCCTGCCTATGGCAGTAGGAGGGATCGATACACGGTAAAATAAATATAAAACAATTAACCAAAGGCTGCATCAGGGTCAACACGCAACCAACAGCGGTACACTGACGTCTTCATCTGGCCGCGGTGGCGAGATGTGAACTCCCTCGCCTGGTATGAAGGAGGCCGTGGGTTTGATCCAGACCCTGGCGCTTGTATATTTGGAGTTTGCATATTCTCCACGTGGTCGCGTGGATTTTTTTCCAGGTCCTCCGGTTTTTTCCATCCACATTTAGAATCAACGTGCGCTTAGACTATTTGTCTACTGCTAAAATGTCCACGTGATAAACCACTTCGTTGGGCTCTCATTTGTGATTGCCAGGTCGGTTCTGAAAAATAGCTAAGTAGCACAGTGGGGCCTTACCTGGTAAAATACATGTTATTAGAATATGAAACCCTAAACCTCTCTACTCTACTTACACCTGTCAACGACGTTTGGAGACCGACACGTTTGTGTGCATATCAGAGAGCTTTTAAAAAAATGATATACGAGCGTTCAACGTCAATGTCAAAACATCCGACGTTACCCACGCCTCGATATTTTCGTTGCCAGAGCGAACTGCGGGCCCTTCTCCCGTGTGGCTCCTCCACCTGAGGGGGAACCAACCCCCTTCTCACCAGCCACGTCCATGACTCGGTTGGGGGGGGGGGGGGTCACTGTCGTTGTTCTTCAGTCCCAACTGAAAACAAACTCACTCCGATTACCATCGCTCGTGGTATACGAACCCAATGCCTCAGTGCAATCTGGTCACCCTGATTGCGTTGTCTTGTGCGGTCCTTTTATATTTTACCTTATTCACGGAGTGTTGACACTTTCACGTGAACGTCACGTTGTGATCTTGCGACTAAAAGCGCTTTAAACAAATACATTCTCATTACTATTTTGACAGACAATTAACAGACATCACCGCAGCCGTGTGCACTGCAAGGCAGTTTTATTTCTGTCGGAGCCGACACAAGAGGAGGACGCGTCGCGCACGATCGGCCCAACACGCCGCCGTCACAGATACAAAACTAGACTCTCTACGATCCAGAGATAGACATCTGCGTATGATACATGTACATTATATACAATATCCACCAGCTCCTCCGTGACCACGAGCGCCCACGCAAGCTCCCCCGACACCCTGGGCTCGATTCGCGTCGTCACAAAGCGGCCGAAGCTCGCCGCGTCGTCGTTGCCCCCCCCCCATCCCCGGGCTGATTTTCCCAGATGTTGGCGATGGAGGTGTCGGAAAGTTCTCGAAAAAAGTCAGACAAAAAAAAGCGACGAAATCAGGCCACAAACAATATCAGCTCAATGTCGGTGTTCGACGATCCCCCCCCCCCACCCCCGCTCGCCCTCCTCCAAACGTGAACGAAAAAATTCTATCGCCACCGACGCGTTGAGCCGAGTGAGGGGTGGTGGATAGACGTCACCTTGGTGTCAGTCGTTTAGGTAAATTGCAAAAGGCTGGGGGGGGGGGGAGACGGTGTGGCTTGGAAAGTCGTGGGAGTGCACCCTGTTCAAACCACAACACTCGCCAACAACTTCACTCCGACCCAGCCACACCGCTCACCAATCAACCACGCGGGCTCCCTTGGGCAGTCCCGATCAAGGAGCCACACAGCTGAATTCGCTGCAACGCCACTGCCCTACCCAGCCACATCATCCACGACCGAGTAAAACCACTCCCTGCCTTCTCCGAGGCACACCCTGGAGACGTTATCGGGCTCAACTCCAAACTATAATCAACATCTCGTTTGCAATCACAAATAGCCGGTGTGTGTAATTACTCAGGGAGCGTTGGAGAACAATGTGCCTCATTTTATTGAAGTGACAGTTTGCATCATGGTGACACGGTGTCATTAGATTTGTTTACAGAAGTAAAAATCCGCTCTCGTGTTTTTTACTCTGCCGATTTTTACTGTGGGTGAGGAAGATTTGCTTGGGCCAGGGATATTGTTGGGTAATACTGGGATTCGGGTGAAGGCTGGGTTAGGGATAGGGTTGGGACTAGGACGTGGTCTCCCTTGCAAATTTGACTCGTTTCAACAAATTCTAAGGTTGTTATAAATACTAATTGAGTATGAACAAGGAATTAGGACTCGAGTTTGTTTGGGTGAAGTTTGGATCAACGGTGCGAGGAAGGGCAATGATTCAGTTTGGTAAAAAGTTGTAAACTCTTACGGTTAAGACACGAATTACGATCGATTCCCTGTTTTCAAATCATCATCACCTTGCTGTCCACCATGTGAGACTCCACCTTTCCCCTCTTCCTCCTCCTGTCAATCAATTTCTCCCAGATCCCCCAATCACTCTTCAACCGCTCACCACTCCCGTCTCACACGATCACCACAACCACACGCGCGAGCGCGACGCTGACCCTCCCCTCCCCACTCCGCGGCGAATCCCACGAGGATTGGGACACAAATAAAACGACGAGGCGGCGCTGGGCGACGGCATAAGGCGCCAACTCCCAAGGCGATAGAGCGGCCGCGTCGAGGCACCGATAGCGGACCGCAGTGCCGACCGGCACCGTAATTTCTGCGACGAAAAATTGCGAGGACGCACGAACCAGAAACGGATAAAAACACGGCCCTCTATCACAGCACCGGCGACGTGGAACCTGGGGCCTGGCTCGCAGTGACGGTAACATACAACGAAACCTTCCTCTGAGTCATGCACATTGGAGTTTTGTGTTAATAGCCCATGAGCAGAGGTACTTGACCGGTACCACTTGGGGTGACAAATGCTACTAGTTACAGTATCCACCATTTTCAGAAAGCTTCACTTAAATGTAATTTTTTATAAGCTGTACATGTTTCGGTTCACATATTTTTTCTTTCCCAAAACGATATTCTGTCATACATAACATGACACCCTCTTTCATAATTTTTTTTTCTTAGATATAAAAAAAAGATACCACGATGACTTTGTCATCGTCCATATTAGTAATGTCGAAATGAAAATTGTTCCAAAAATTATTATTCGCATTTTCCACACTGGTTGGTACCAATAAGCAATCTTTGGTCCAATGGCTCAAGGGCTATAAAGTCGACTAAGACTGGGGACAGACAGCTCGGATTCAAGTCTTCTGTTCGTGGATCCCGCATTTGTTCAATACTGAACCGCTGAAACGGGCCGTGTGTGAAACGACCCACGCCAGGTTGCGTGGGAATGTTGCCACTTTCAGTCCGCAGCTGCCAGTTGCTCTCGCTACTCTACGCTGCAGAAGCTCACGGAGTAGAGACACTGGGGCACAATCCATTACCGGAAAGCACCGGGTGTGGGTGGCGTTCAAGCAGCAACGGATTCACATTAGCGACACGAATATACAACTCCAGAGAGCATGCACCGCTGGCCGAGTCACCTTAATGCGAGAAGTGCACTCTCCTCATGTCAGGTGGTTATCTTCGCCAACCTGCATTGACCAGCGTGAAATACGGTCACATATTCCGCCCCCTCCCCCACCCCCGCCCCATGCTAGTGCAGCCTGCAACATGGTTCTCAAGCTACCGACAACTCTGATTTCATTTACCATGACGGTGGCGGGGTGAGGTACAGGTGAAAGCAACGTTAGGAATCGATGGAGAAGAACAGGACACTGTCTTAGGTTATTTACAACATGCAAACTATCCAAAGAATAACCATAGCCAAAGTTATTCGACACCAACATGAGAAGATATTTCTAAATATTGGATTGGAGAAACAAAAGGCGTAAATATGAACTGCAGGAAATGTTACTGTAACTTTATAATAGAGAACGGTGCAAGGTTGGGGCACATGATAAATTATAAAAAAAAACAAAGGTTATGTTCAACAAGTTCGCTTAACAATTGGAGATGTGTCTAAGGGTCACAGCTCTTCAAACAGAGCAGAGTGTGTGCATGCACCAAAGACAGTTATGGAGAGTGGACCAGAATCAAAATAATGGAATGAGTCGGCGGATGACAGCAGGTTGGAGTGCTCTTGCAAATCGTAAATTGATTATAAAGTCACATAGAAATGTGCCTATAGAAGAAAACGTTCAATCAATGCTATGACATACGGGGTTATGTCATATCATTGACGAAGCATTTGGAACAAAAACTGAAACATTCTCAAAGAAGCGTGAAGGGATGCATGCTTGGCATTGTTATTGAAGTACAACACACGTGTCTGGGAGAATATACGCAGGGTGAAGACAGAATTGTAACCGTTAAGAAAAATAAGCGGCCCTGAGCAAGACTCGATGGGTTGATGGGCAATGGTCAAGGGTAATAACGGAGTGGCAGCCAAGGGATGGAACACGTTTGAAAGGACGTACACCGAAGAGTTGGGAGCGACGAGATCGGCGCGTGGTGTGCTGGGTGGGGATTGTTACATCGCAAGATCGTGAGAGAAGGCAACGGCTTGGGAGAGGCAATCATCCAACAGTAGATTATGGCTGGTGATGGTCACTGGAATGGGGGTTTACACCCGGGATCTGGTTAGGGTTTGTGAGAGGGATTGTGTTCGTGGTGGGTTTCACATTCGGGATTAGGGGTATAGAGTTTGGGGTCGGTTTATGAATGAGGCTAGCACAATAATATATTGTGAACAAGTCAAATAAAAGAACCGTTTTACTAAGTTGTTTGAATGCCATAGCAATTTTTATTTTTTTTATTAATATTTATTTCTCGGTCAGTCATTAAAAAGTTTGCATCCTGCATTTAGTCACAAAGGCCACTGAAGAATATCCCAATATAAATACAGTGGTAAGGGTGTAGGTTATAGCTTGGGCTAAGTTGAGTTGTGGTAAGGTCTGAGGTTATGGCTATGCTTTAGCTTCAGAGCTCAGGTTAGGGTGAGAGTTTGGCTTCGTGGGGTTAGGTTTAAAATTATGACCAGGGATAAGGGTTCTGTTCAGGGTGAAGGTTCGGTTCAGAAAGCACCACTCGGTAGCAATCGTTGGCTTATTATGCAAAGACTGGTCCCCACCATAGCCAATGTTAAATTTCCACCGGTGACTCAGGTTGCAAGGGAGCAGAATCCCACCCCTTGTTGTTTAAAGTTAGTTCTTGGGTAAACCCAGATTTGACATTTCGTCAGCTTGAGTTAAAATTCGTCTCAGTTTAAAAAAAAACACCAATAATTTATAGAATGCCAGTCAATTTGCAGTGAAGTGGCATCAAACAGACCCCCCGCTCGAGCCTATTCGCCAACTGAAAGTGCAGTGCAAAATAAACGTCCTGCCTCTGGTCGCATTTACGGACTAAACGTTCTGACGCGAAATTCCTCCGGGATTCACGGCACCCCGAAGCGATCACCGACGCGACTGCAGCAATTCCAGACATTCGCTGCTTAACAGCTCCCCCCCCCCTTTCACTCCCGCCCCCCCTAGCCCCCCCCCCCCTAATAAGCCGACATCCATGCAGTAAATTATTTTTCAAAAAAAAACTAAAAAGAAAACAAAACACGACGATGATTAACAACAATTCCCGTAAATTTCACCGGCCGAAAGCCGTCGCAAAATCCGCGTCATCCGTGTTGTTTTCCCACGCAAAAAAACGGCTTCATTGGGTTGTGAATGCACGATATGGAATAATTCCTCTCCCTCAATTAAAATAAAAACGTCTCAACGAAATAAGCTTGTTTACGTGTCTACATGTCTTTCCCCCCGACGGTGAATTTAATGCCAGAGTGAGAACCGCAAGAAAGCACGATTGTGTAAACGGTGAGCAGCTTCCGGTGTTTCCCCCCACCCCCCCCCCTCTCAACCCCCTCCCCCCACCGCCCAGCAGTTGCCATCCCCTCAAACACTTCACGACGCGCCCACAAAATTGGTAGCAACGACTCAAATGGCGTTTGTGGTGAAGTGCTTACGGGGGGGGGGGGGTCACAGAAAGGAGCGCTGCCATCAGTTCGCCGCGCCACCAGAGGCGGCGTTGGAAGACGGTGGGGCGATGGGGGGAGAAGCAAACGTGGGTGGTGGGGGGGGGGCGGGAGCAGCAGCGGCGTCGTAAGCAGCAGCAGCAGCGGCGGCGGGCGGCATGTACGTGCCGCCTAGGACGCGCACCACGACGCCGCTCAGAACTCGTCGTCGGAGCTCAGCAGCATCGTCTTCTCGGTGTCGTGCGCGTGGGCTGAGGGGTGCCCCCCACCGCCCCCGCCGCCCGACGGCTGGCGCGCGTGGAACGTGTGCGCGTGGCCCGTGCCGTTGCGCTCAAGCGTCGACTGCTGCGTGTACTGCTGGTATGCGGGCGAGAAGTTGTGGATGGCGTCCTGCACGATATCGTTGGGGTTCATCGTCTCCTTCAGACTGCTTGAGATGCTCATCGGGGTGCTCCGGCCTGTCGGGGGAGGGGTGGGCACGGGGACGCGTTACATACACGTGTGCGACGAGTGTGCGGGTGCGATGGCATGCGTGTATTAAAGCGCGCGCGCTGGCGAGTAAATGTGCGAAAGTATGGGCCAGGCTGCGTGAGCATGTGGATTAGGAATGTAACGATTTTCCCCCACTCCCCCCTCCTCACCGATTCAATGGATTGTCACGATTTGGGATTGCTAGTAACGTTAGCATATTAACATATCATTTGCATGTAACTTGCATTAATCGTTTTCAGTCCTTATCTCTTATTCCACCCATCCACTGGAATAAATTTCCTCGTAAATTAAGCAGCACTGCCCATAGACCCAACACTGTCCACAGACTCAACACTGCCCATAGACTGAATACTTCCCCTGTACATGAAGCAGTCCCCCTCCTTAACCTCCTTCCATCCCTCCCCCAATGCCTCACCTCTTCTCCATCGGCTAATCCTCTTTCTCTTCCCTCCCCTCACTCCTTCCCATCCCTCACCTGCCCTTCCGTGATTCCCAAGTACCCTCTATCGTTATCACTCATTCCTCAAACCTCATACTCCCATTCCATCTAAATAATTATATTGTCACCGTTTTGTAACCTATATCAAGCGCCTTGAGTGAAGGCGCTCAATAAATGAGATTATGTATCTATGAATATTGAACTTCTTTCGCACCGTACATCGGCAACCGTGCTAATCCGATAATATTCATACGCACACGATCCAACGCGTAGCCTCATGACGCAAGCAACATTAATGAATCAACGCATCCTTCCATGACGAACGTGTGCGTGTGCACACACCGAGTGTGTCGACGCGCTTGTTGAGGTAGGGCCAGTGCGAGAAGGCGTAGCGCAGCGCGATTGCAGCAAAGAACATCTCAATGCAGATGATGAAGTTCTGGTATCCAGCCGCCACAGTGCCCACGCCGGCCACCAGTTTGCCATCCAGCGAGTAGATCATGGGGATCGCCCCGCACTTCTCCAGGATCGCCAGCAGCATGCCTGCAAAGGGTCGGACATGAAGGGGTCACAGTGGAGGTACGGTCGACATCGATTGACGAGCAGCGTCGCTCGCACAGGCGATCGGGTCAGGATAGGTAAGACGAGGTTGTGATTTGTCTAGTCATTTTCCTGAGCCGTAGATTGTCTGGGGGAACTGTGTGTGTGAAAGCCAGCGTACCCAGGTGAGGCCCACATGCGTGGGGGTGTGTGTTTAACCAATATTTGTACGTACACGTGTAGGCGTCTACCTGATTACTTGTACCATGGACACCTGTCTGCTTAGTATGCCCTTGTGCCGATGCATTCATGGGACCATATACAAGGGTGCTCATGTACCTGCATGCCAATGTATCTGTGTGCTGTCACGTACCCATGTATGTTTGTGCGTGTCCACTATCACGTGTGCATGTGGATCTAGATGCATGGGTGCGTACAAGCCCCAGTGTCAATGCGTACGTGCACCTACATCCCTGTGTATTCATGTCTCCTTTACAAGCGTGTCTGTAACTCCCCATACCCGTGCCTTTGTGTGTGCCCACATATCCATGCGTCCAGGTCTCCACAACTCAGGCATGCCCCCATGTCTCCGCGTGTCACATTTGTCACGTCTTCGTGTGCCAATGTCTCCCGTCTCTATGTGCCCGTGGTGCCACCGTGCGCCCACGCCTCCTCCCACATGCCACCCACCCTGCCAGAAGGAGAGGAAGATGACCGACTTGACGGTGAAGAACTTGAGCACGGGCTCGAAGGGGCTGAGCAACTCGCGCGTGGCGAAGTAGAAGAGGAAGAGGGCGTAGAGCGCCAGGCTCACGGACACGTTGTAGATGATCGTCACGTACAGGTACCCGTTAGACACGCTGCCGGGGGGTAGAGGGGAGACGGGACCGGAGGGAGTGGGAAAAGGGTGGCAGGCAGGGTTGGGAGCCACAGGGCAGGGAAGCAGCGGTGAGTTGGCGACGCTTGGAACAAGCTACGCTTGCAACGTTTCAACCCCTCCACGGTTCCACAAATCGTTGCGATTCGTGAACGTGCTTCGATTCAATGAGCGATAATTTTCTGCCGCCTGTGGTTCATGTAAAAACCAATAGGAGCAGCACAGTTTCTATGAACAAGATCGCGTACAGCGCAAGTGAAATTTAAATTGTTGAATTTTATACATATGGCACTTCATGGATATATCTTGATATAAACCGGTGAATCATTTCAATGCGAGCTAGATCTAGCAATCGGAGGACCTCGCACAAAGCTGCTGATGGTTTGTTTCCCGCGACAGCTGCCTGATCATTTTTTCTGTTGAATCGTCGCTGTGCGCCGACTACGAACATTAAAGACCCCATGATGTCATTGGCAAGTGTAAGCTGTTGTGTCGATGCCATAGAATGTGGGTACAGTTTGATATAAAAACAATAACTTTCTTGCCAAATGTAGCCTCCCAGATCTAACTACTAAACAGATAGTTTTCTCTTGCCTGGTTAAGTATCATTACTGTGCACATGTAATCAATATATTTACATTCACCAAACACATGTATCAGCGAAATACATAATACTATAAACCTCGGGTGATGATGAACGAATGTAAAAATTTGTATTTTATGTCTCCCGCTGTAAATCCACGGTAAATCGCGACCACACGCCTTCCGTTCTACTGACTCCGTAACAATCGTGGTCACTCCACCTCCACACCCAGCGTCACCCGCCCAACCCCTTCACCTAAATGTGGAGGGGTTCGAAGCCACGACCTGCTTGACACCAGGCGAGGTAGTTAATATCTCGTCACTGAAATAAGAATTATATACTCGGAACTCTCGCAGTTAGAGCAGTGTACCACCGTGTGTCAAGAGAGTGGCATTGGAAAATTTACTTCACAGAACTATTTCTCAGGTCACTTTGATAGCATCTTTATCCAGTTGCAGAGAGAGTTGATCACACGTCAATCACACCGAGAGTTTTACTACTCAGAGCTGTTCTAAAATAAATAAGAAGTTAAATGTGACAGGGGGGGTTCTCTGTGCATTCACTGGTAACTGGGTTCAGACCATCAACTCGCTGCACTTGAGAATCCGGTTTGATCACAGAGAGCTGAAACCCGGATTTAAACACAGGATTTCAGCAGCGCTGCCTTTGTGCTCTGATGCGGGCATCATGGACCACTGATCCACCCAGCTTTGGCTAATAACAAGGCCCCGGACGGGAGGGAGGGGAAGGAGGAGGGGGGGGTCGCATGGTTTAAAGAGGAGCCTTTGTGTTATCGAGCACAAAAGCGATGACTGCCTTTTTACAGCGCAAAACTAGGCACGGAAAAATAAATATATATCCATTTATTTGTGGAACGGGTGCCATGGTTAATTTGCCCTGAATGCAGTCAGTTTCCTGAGCAGATGTCTGGGCACAAATAGACCACACAAATCCCCCCCACCTCCACCTAGCAGCACCACCAACCCCTTCCCTCTCCTCTCCCCGCACATACATTAACGAGTGCAAGGGTAGTGGGGGGAATGAGAGGGTTCAAGGAGAAGCGGAGATGAAGGGGATCTGGGAGTGAAGAAGGGGATCACGGGGCAGTGACGGGGGGGGGGGGGGCGTGGGGGGGATCCGGGAAGCCCCCCTTACTCGAAGTCGCCGTCGCGGTATTTGCCGAAGGCCTGAAGGATGAGCGTCACGATGGCCATGAGCGGCTTCACCACACAGAACTGAAGCGTCGCCTGCAGCACGGGGAGAGGTGGGGGAGAGGAGGGGAGGAAAGGGGAAGAGGGAAGAGCGATTATACAGTGAGACACGGGTATGTAGGGAGCAGGCAGCGGAGAGTCCAAGGTAGCGAGTGGGAACTGGACAAAAGGGAGCAGACAATAAGAATACGGAGTATGAAATGAGGAGTCAAGAGTGGATAGAGTAAGCGAGATGTAGGGAGTGACGAGAGTAAGGAGTGGAGATTAATATAAGGAGTTCAAAGTTTGTAGTGGGGAGTGAGAAGAGGGGAGCAAGGGGTGTGGTTAGAGACCTGAGAAAGGGTGGCAGACAGCAGCAGGGAGTAGAGTGAGGAGTAGGGAAGAGAAATGTGAGAGTTTGAACAGGGAGCGTGCAGCAGACGGGAGAATGGGGATCGAGTGTGGGACCAGCGTGACAGACAGAAACAGTGTTGGACAGAGACGATGGAAAGGCAGCGCGAGGTTGAATTACACAACATCACGATGACACTCGCATCAAAAAGTCGCTCTCAACGGACAAGTAAAAGTTAAAGCATCTTCCTGCTCAAATGAGCACTGGGACGCTTGGTAGCCTGGAGCCAGTGTCAGACATATAATTCTCACGGTTCAGGCCAGTCTCACCACCTCAAGATTGGAAAGTAACCGAGCACAGTTGTGAACGATCAACGAGGATGTCCGGCGTGCGAGCTTGCCTGCTTGCAGAAGCGCAGGAAGCCGATGGAGTAGTTGTGACCGCACAGGCAGCACGTGCCATATATGCAGCTTGACCTGCATGCACATGCAGGGGTCAGAAGTCGCACGTACGATGTACATATGTATATATGTTCAACTTATTTCACACCGTACGTAGCCAACAATGCTAACTGGCATTGCTCCTACACAAAGACTGAGATTCACATCATTTCAAACTGAGTGACAGATTCACATTCGCTTGTGTGTGACATTGGTGCCCGAGACGCACTCGATTGGCTTTCCCCGGATCTCGGACATGATGGCGCTCTCCCCTCCGAGGTACTCGTAGCAGAGGCTCAGGAAGTTGTAAATCACAAACGCTGCAAAGCAAAAAGATACGTGGGTAAGAGCACACGTGAACACGCATGGCACACAAAACAAAGCTGCACCTACATTACATAGACAAAGATGCCCCGTGTAGCCTACATAAACTGCGAGGGTAGGGGCTGTTGGCGAGCACCTACAAAGACACAGATCCCACATATAGCCTTAACAGACTGTTAGGGAAAGTGCTGTTAGCGATTAGCACCTATGAAGGCCTGCACGGCACACAAGGGGGTGGGGTGGCTAACACCATGCCCAACCGCCTTTGTCCCCCTATTGGCGATGTTCACACACCACACCAGGTACTCATTTGAAGTTTAGTCGACCTAGGGGAGGCCCAGGACTGGTTCAGATAATAGTTACTGGTGTTGCCCGTGATCGGGAATTCAATTTAGGCCGCCGGGTTCATAGCGCAGCGCGCTAACCGCTACACTACTGCTCCCCACACACACACTCGCACACAGGCATTCACTTCCACGTACAAGCACACACGCTCACACTGGCACACACATGCTGATAAGGACCACTGGCACAGGTGCGGCACAGGTGTGCATCGCGGTTTTCGTTGTGAGTCGACGCTGGTGAGCGGCGGCGTTACCCTCGTAGCAGTCCCGCACGGAGTCGAAGTAGATGTAGAACTGGTCGTTGCTGAAGAACAGGAGGCTGAGCCACGAGTCGAACGCGTAGATGGGCACGATGAAGAGAATGCGCACGATGTGCCGCTGCTCGTTCGGGCAGCTGTAGTGCTTCAGGTGCACGTAGATCTGGCACGCACACACGCACGCACGACGTTATGCTCGTCACACCACTACTCACTCACCACTCACACGACCATATCTGCTCCCCGAGCTTGCATTGGCTTCCGGTAACCGGACGAATACATATGTATGTATTTATCTAGAACCGTACATAGCCAACCATACTAATAAGTGTGGGGGAAGGACAACAAACTAAACACACACAAAAATACATTATAACGTTGCACTTATTGTACACCAAGTGCTTGCCACAAATTAACCACACAACCTTGCGTTAATCTCGTCAAGGAGCATAACCCATCCCATAACGCAAACTCCAGTCATCCTCGCAGCAGCTTTTGGCTAACCATCGAACAAAGATGGCTACTGCATCGTGCACTTTGATATGCGCTTCTGCGACCGTTTGGAACGCTCTTCCTTCTGATATTAGGAAGTCACTGGAGCTGTGCACTTTTAAATCTAGATTTAAAACTCATTTCTTTAGAACTGCTTTTTGTGATTTGTTTGTTGTCCTTCCCCTGCACTTCCGATTAGCAGTCAACAACGTACGATGCGAAAGAAGTTAAATATACAAAGACAAAGATCCCCTGTATAGCCAAGTGCTGTTAGCGAGCACCTATGAAGGCCAGAATGGTACACGAGGGGGTGGGTGGCCAGCACAATGCCCGACCGCCTTTGTCTCCCCAGTGGCGATGTTTACACACTGCACCAGGTACTCATTTGAGGCTGAGTCGACCTCGGGGAGGCCCAGGACCAGTTCAGATAATCATCACTGTGTGTTGGCCGTGAGCGGGAATCGAACTCGGGTCGCCGGGTTCGTAGCGCAGCGCGCTAAACGCTACACTACTGCTCCCCATAAGTTAAATATACATACATACACTACTCCACTGCTCTCCATTCTACACTTTACACTCCCCATTCTCCACTCAATAACCCCCCATTCTACAGCCACTACTTACCATTCCCCACTCACAACACTCTATTCCCTGTCCCTCATTATCTCACCTCTCTCCCATCCGTACAGATGATTCTAACGATGCAGTTTAATTCAAAATCGACATAAGAATCTAAGAGAAAATTGCAATTGTAAATTTCCCTAAAGTGTCAGCTTACATAAGAACTTCATCGAATTTATTTCTTGGCAAATTTTACATTTGCGATTTGTGGCAAGACATCGGCAAAAAGTGACCTGCTCCTGCGGTCGATGATGGCACTAGGTCTTGTACTTCCCTTTCGCAGAACGCACGCTTCGCTGAGTACACCGCAGAAAGAAATTACCAGCCAACTGTAGCGGGAATCAAACCCACAGTTGCATGCGAGATGGCCAAGCGGCAAGCACGCTGACCGCTCAGCCACCCAGCAGTTTCCGTATCCAAGCGTCACCCCCTTGCCAAATGAACAGTGCTGCTACATACATAGCCCCAGCCACGACTCTAACCGGGGTCCAAAGTGTGCCAGCTTGATGCCAGTGTGTACCAAGGTGTTATCTTGCTCTTCACACGAGTGTAGGGTGGCCCAAAGACAGTGATGGAAAGTCCACATTTCTGTGACAGGGAGTAAATCCATAAACAAGCATTGTTGCCTTTTCTATTTCAAGTGATGATGATGATGATGACGGCGAGGATGGTGATGTTGGTGGGGCTCAATCAACCTTGACTGGGAACTGAACTGGTGGCCTCACAATAGCCAGGCCAGCGAGTGAACGACTAAGCTTATGTACATCATGCATTAAACAAATATTCATCGCAATTAATTTTTTAAAGCATATAAATGTAGGGAGTGGATTTTTCCTACTCATTCAGCAATTTTGGAACAATATGTTTTAACCTTTGAATAGTTGCTGAAGCAGCAAAACTGTGTTATAAATAGATACAAAGATCCCCTGTGTAGCCTTTTACAGACTCTTGAGGCAAGTTCTGTTCGTGAACACCAATGAAGGCCGACACAAGGGGGTGGTATGGCCAACATCACACCTGGCCGCCTTTGTCTCCTCAATGCTCATGTTTACACACTGCACCAAATACTAATTTAAGGCCGAGTCAAACTAGGGAAGGCCCCAGACCGGTTCAGATATTCGTCACTATTATTGGCCATGAGTGGGAATCGAACTCGGGTTGCGGGGTTCGTAGTGCAGCGCATTAATGGCTACACTAGCGCTCCCGCAAACACTGGCACACAAACACACAACGCACACTCTTCCAAACACGCGTACAAATTCTCACACACACAAGGACAGACGTGCACATGAAACAACTCGTACATACATGTACTCGGCACAAACGAAGACAATACACTATTCAGACGATATTGCCTATACTTCTCTGATCCTACACGTAAAATATAACAGCAGATCACTCATACAGCCTTTTACACACACCGTTGGGGAAAGTTATGTTAACAAACACCTATTGAGGTCTGAATTGAGACAGTCCAATATGGGTGGTGTGGTCAAAACCACACTTGGCCATCTGTCTCCCAAGTGCATGCTGATATTTACACACTGCACCAGGTACACAGTTTAAGACTTAGTCGACCTAGCGAAGGCCCAGAATGAATTAAAATATCACTCACCACGAACGAAAGCCACGGCTGGAAATACAAATTCAGGTCGCAGAGTTTTTATCGCAGTTCGCTAACCACCTGACCACCACACGCTCGCAACATGCGCATAGCTGCACACACACAGTACACTATCTCACACGTACACAAACACCACCTGGGGCAGTGATACCGGCTGCTGACAGCACAGAAAACAGAACTATCACACCCGACGCGACGAATCGTCACTTTTCAGTACACTAGCAAAAAAAAATTTAAGTGCCTCCTTGTACAAATTATAATGGAGAGGTGCTCATCTATGTGAGCAGCCCCAAGTCTGTCGTGGAAGTTCCATATTTATATGGTAGGGACCACTTTATAGAAAGTGGTACTATTTTTCAACTTGACATGTTTGCAGCATTTAATAGGCTTATAAAATCAAATGATGAGAATCATTTCTCGTTTCACTTACAACAGAGCGATGATGGTAATGACGATGATGAGCCGAGTCAAACCCAGACTATGATTTGAATTCACGACTTTCCGAACGCGAGTCACTGCCACAGCACCACCTGACCGAATGCTCCAGCAAAACCTTCAATATAATAATTTACATTTGTGAATTTGCACAGCGGAGGACGATTTGAGAATACAGCGAAACCCTCTCTATCCGCGAAGGTTATGTTATTGAAAACGCTCACGACTGTGGAATTTGAAAATGCAGAAACCTTGTTCCAACGGGACAAATGGGTTTACGTTCCTGGTACGAGTAAACATAGGTAAATGGTAGGGAAATTATACATATTTAAAAACAATTACAACAATAAATAATACATTATAAACAACGTGTTTATAATTACCCTTAATGATGATGATATGACGACAACGACAATGAAGGTGGTGGTGGTGATGGTGAAGAATTCAGGAGGATGACTCCTTGGGAGATGCAGGTGTTTGATAACAACGCTGCACAGTTATCATTTTAGCACTCTGGAGAGCGCTAGCCGCAACACTTTCCCTGATTGCATTTGCGTCCTTTTAAATGGACCTGACAGTCAACTCGTTTATACCAAAATGTATAAACGAGTCGACTGCAAGTATATATAAAGTAAAAAATGCACAATAGCGAGTTCCGAACGGGATTACTGCGAGCCTTGAGGACAAAGCGAGCAGCCGAGAGGGCGTGCCTAATCTTCGCAGACAGTTTCAAATGTAAAAATGTGCGTGCACTGCCCCGGTGTTGGTGGTCTGGCATGTACACATGCGAATACTGGAGTCCGGCCGGTCGCGAATAGGGACTTAATATACATTGTCACTCGAGAATATGCGAAACTCGCAAGTCCATGACTTGCGCATAGCTAGGGTTTACTGTACTTCAACATAACCAAGACGTGAGACGCTTACAGAGCAGTGCACTTAGTAAACAAGCGACAAGATGCATTAGTCTCATCGAAAAAATAAAATAAAAATTTGAAAGCAGAGGTCAACTTTGGAATCCTGGTGATAGGTGCAGCCCGTTGGCAAGATTTTCACCGGTCCCTTCTCATGGACAGTCATTCCACACCGGCACAACCAGCACATGGTGCGGCATCACCAGGAAAACTTGGCAAAGTGTTATTAGGTCATGGCACGTTTCCAACAGGAGATTCCAGTAGTGTTACTAAAACATGGTGTGATGCAACCAGATAAAATTTGGCATGGGATGACCAAGACACCGTGCAGTTTTATTACGGGATATCGCCGGATGATCAGTGGTGGTGCTGACTAACTGATCACTGAGATTCCGGGTCACTACTCATCCACACTCAGGCATGATGCAAGCTAACGGCTGTGATGAAATTGGATTTACGAGTCAGGACAATTAACATAATGTGCTCACCCTAGGGGCCAGGCAGCCAGCCAACCAGCGAACCATCCAACCATCCATCCAACGAATCACCCCCCCCCAATCATCTATCCAACCACCCAACCATCCATCCAACCACTCATCGAACCATCCATCCATATAGGCAACCAAGGCAGCCACACGCACACGTGCAATTCGACACATGTTTCATGAGCGTAAGAATCAATTTTGATTGATGAAACGGTGCGATGCATCATGACACGACTAATGGAAAGGGATCCTCAGTCCAACACGGGTTGAGAAGCCCTGCCTGCACTAATCAGCTACATGCCCATCTTCCACCCCACCCTCTTTCCCACTCCGTCCCCTACATTCCTCCATACAACTCCCCATTCCCATTAGGCATGGCCCCTTAAGCAAGACGATGCGTAACCGTACGGCGAAACCGCTCATCCCACACGCACACACCGGCGGTCGCCCATCGATCCGCCACCAATCGCAATCGACTCATCCACCCTGCGGGGAAATCCCAAAGCAGGCCCGGGGGACCCCATTGCTCTAGCTTTTACATTTTGTTTGGACGTTTTAATTTCCGTAAAATGTTCCGCCGGGTGGGGATCTA